TCTAAGTCGGGAAGTCTCAGTGCAGTGTGAGTCCCGGTGCGGCAGGGGAGCAGTGACCATCCTTCGTGTCTGTAATGCCTAGCCTGAAGCTTTAGAAATAATTGGTTTTCAATAAATAGTTCTTGTATGAAGAAATAATTTTGATGATTTCTTATAGAATTTTAGGCAAGAACGATGGATCAACCTAGTGGAAGAAGTTTTATGCAAGTATTATGTGAAAAATATAGTCCTGAAAACTTTCCTTACCGCCGTGGTCCTGGGATGGGAGTCCATGTCCCAGCCACACCTCAGGGCTCTCCTATGAAAGGTAAGAAACATGGGACCCATGCCATGCATGTCCCAGAGTCACTTAGCAAGTTAAATTAGAGCGTTGCCTTGTTTCCAAGTGATTACTTTTATTTTAAATTATGAGTCAAATAGTCTTTCTCCTTTTTCTGATTTCATGGTTTTTTTTCTTTTTTTAAAGAACCTAACAAGACTTGTTTCCCTCCAGATTGGGCAAGAGTGGTTTTAGTTGCATTAATAGCGCAAGAATAATACTTGACCGATAATATTTCAGCTACGTGTTCTTTCTAGGAACTTGGAAGGTTAAAAACACACAGGACCATCTTGTGCCCTCAAGGACCTAACAGCCTAAGTGGGTCCTAACAGTGACATTTATAGCAACGCAGCACAGCATGGCTCAGGTTGAGCACAGTGGCTGGGCAGGAGATGTACAGGGTGTTAACCCGGAAGTCAGGGAGGGGTTCAAAGCTGTGAGACTTGAACCAACCCTTTCTTCAGGTAGACTTTGGTTAGAGAGGAAATAAAGACGTTCTAGGAGAGGGATTGGACGTGTGCGAAGTTCTATAGCTAACAAATGTGTACGGCGTGTTTTTGGGTACCTTTTAGGATAAGGTTGTAATTAATAGTCATTGTAAGTACTTTTTTATAATATGGGAGATGAATATTGAATCAGTGGTTTAGTTCCTATGTTCAAAGGTTACTGTGTGTGTGTGTTATTTTTTTAAACATATGTTATCACCTTATATGACCTGGAATGGCAAAGAAGTGGATTTCTTACTTGGTAGTTTATTTTTCAGGATGCATTCCCATTCTAAGAAATTTGGTACTTAAAAAAATCTTAAGTTGAAAAACAGTCTGATTTGATGCTTCCATTACTAGAACATTATCTTCATGAATCCTTGTTTTATACCAAATGGGAAAAAAGTGATCTAAAAAGTGGTTTATCTCTTTTAGTATAGATAGTAAGAATGATGTTAATTTGACATATGTATTCCCCACCCTTTTTTTAAAATAGGGTGTATGAGTGCATTGGAGAGAGACAGAGAAAGAGAGGAGGAGAGTGAGAAATCACGGGATGGCCATACTGCAGTCCCTTCTCCTTTGTCCTTTTAAGATTTAGGGCACATGTGCCCAGTGTGATTTTTCAAGGCGCCACGTCCAGGACTGACCATGGTCAGCCATGTGGGATCCAGTGACTTAAACTCCACACCACCTACTGGCCTTGGCATATGCATTTTTGAACCAGGCAGTAGTCAGAAAGTTATTACCGTGGTTCGATCAAATTAATTGAATAATTTAAGAATTTGAAAAGCTGCATCCTGTAATAATTCTATTTTAAAAGGAGATTAATTTCCATAAGCGTCATCTTCTACATGTATGTGAAATAAGCGATGGAAAAATGTGAAAGAGAGAAAGAGTTTTGAATGGATCCACTTAAGTGAGGAGGATTGTTTGAGGATAAGAATGGAAGTGGCTTAACAGATTACCTATTGGTTTGAGGTCATTTTCAAAGGCAGCCAACGTAAAGATAAAGACAGAGAAAAGAACTATCCAGAATACTTTGTACTGAATTTTAAAAAGAAAGATCAAGGCCAAGGAAAAGACGTGACTTGAGATGCTCAGAGGGCAGCAGGACTTCACTCTACGGTTGATGATCCGGACGCGTGGTCCTCCCGGGCGACAGTCTCCATGGCTTCTTTGGTGGTTCTGGTTTAGCACTTCGAGCCTCCTCAGCCACATCTGACTGTGTGCCCTTAGAGTTCAGCCCCTGGATCCCGTGATAGCCTGTGTTTTCCAAGTCCTTGGGTCATTTCACACTGTTCGAGTTTTGTCTCTTGAGGGTCCCTGGGGTCGTGCGCAGGGAGAGAAGGGCTGGGCTGATGGAGCAATTGTTCTGTGTGCCCTGATCCAGACCGCCTGAACCTCCCGAGTGTGCTGGTGCTGAACAGCTGTGGCATTACCTGTGCCGGGGACGAGAGGGAGATCGCCGCCTTCTGCGCTCACGTGTCGGAGCTAGACCTGTCCGACAACAGACTGGAAGACTGGCGCGAGGTAAAGGCGTGGAGCTTCCCCTGGGCGGGAGGCAGCGGGAGGCAGCCTTACCGGGGACCGCCACTTACACCGTTCCGTATTCAGGGCTCCGGCTCTCCCTTGAGATGCTGGTGTCTGTGTGACTCAGCGGTCAGCTCCCAGTGTCTGTATGACTCGGCATAAGCAAGGTGACTTTTCGGTCAGCTACGTTTTTGCTTCTTTGTTTTTCACTAGTTTGTGAAAGCACTCAGAAACTTTATCCCAGACATCAAGGGTCGATGAGTCTACGGAGGTTAGACTAACTGTGCAATAAATTCTCAGCTGGTTCCCCACTCGACGTATCCTACACTCCCCCTTTAACATGTGTTACTGTGGGTTGACATAACTGCTAGAGTTCCAAACTAAGATCATGAACATATTTATCATTGCTAATTGAAATTTGTTCCAAATATTTCAGAACCTCATATTATCGAGTCCTTTTGGGGTGTGACATAACTGATGTCTTTTGATCACAGAGTAACTCTAAGTACACAAATAGCAGTACTAATACATCCTTTCTTGTTAATATATATTGGGTTGTGAGAAAAATTCAGATGCATTTTTGCATAGAAGAACACAGAAAACATATGTCGTAACTTTTCCGACAACCCAGTACAACAGTACACCTGATTATAAATTATCTGGAAGAAACCACCCTGAAGAATTAGGGAAAAATAGTTCTTCCTGCTTGGTCATTCTCCTGCCTTAGTTTAGGTCCTTATTTTTTGCTTTGATTACTTGGAAAGTTTCCTGATGGGATTTCTTGGGTCTAGTTTTTCACTGTCTCCTCTAAGTTGTCGTGCACATTGCCACCACAGACTCTTTTAAATAAGTTAAGCCTTGTTGGGGTCAGCAGATGGCAAGGTGGTTAAGGCACTGGAGTTCCATATAGCCAACCACAGTTCTAGTCCCAGTCCTGGCAGCTTGAAAATCATTTTGGTCCCATGTGCGTGCTTGCCCAAATTCCCAGGAGGAGCATAGAGGAGAAGGGACTGTGGCGTGACCATCCCCCTTGGAGGTGATTTCTCACTTTCCCTCTCTGTGTCTTTCTCTGGCTTTCTCTGGTGGGTGTACGTGCCCTATGGTAAAAGCCTTTAAGAAAAAACCTAAATGAATAAGTTAAACATTGTTATGGCACTCTTACATAGAGCTTTTCAGATGCTTCTCACTGAGGACAAACTAAGGTCTGATTTCTCTCAGAGCGGCCTTCATACAAGGCCCTTGCTATGTCCAGGACTGTACTTCTGTCTTGAGCCGTGTGCTTTTACTGTGTCTCATGATAAACTCTTGACATGAAAAGCTTCATTGCTTTTTATTTGTTCTGAATCCACTGCTCTCTTTCTCCTCTTTTCTGCCTGGCCATTTCCTATTTGTCCTACGAAACGTGGCCCGAGTTGCTGTTGCTCTGTGAAATCTCCCTGGCTCTCGCTCAGGCAGTCAGATTATTGGTAGCACCAGCACGTGGCTTTCTGCTGTGCAAGGACTTCGCACAGTGCAGTGTGATGGCTTGCTTACCTGACAGCTCCACCAGGCTGTAAGCTTATTCACAGTGGAGATTTTTGTCTTTTTTATCATCAGTGCCCAGCATACCAGGTACTCAAATGTTTATTGAATGTGTTAATGAATAAATGATTATATCTTAAGGATTGATCAAGACCGCTTGCACCAACTTTTCCTGTGATCTTAAGAACTTGACTTAATCCTTTAGTGCTTCAGTTTGCCTGTGATAGAACAGGCTTGCTGATAAAATGAATCATTGAAACAGTTTGTAACTATGGAGTGCTATACAAATTCTAAGACAGCTTTCTTGTATAAGAAATGTATCTGTATCCTAGTTTTGTACAGCTTTTCTTATATTTATGTCATAGTCTTGCTTAATCTGGTAACTGATGTTATATCTCCTATTTTTGTTAGGATTTTACTAGAATCCTTTCAGATGCATGTTACTTGGTTTCTAAGTGATTTGTTAATGTGTGCAGATTTTCTGGGCTGTTCTAGGAAATAACTTTTATTTGTACATACATGTATTTACCTGTACGTCGACCTAAACACCTAGTGTAGCTCACTGTTTAACAAGTTATGGTCTGCACCTTCTTGGTCCTCTGAGATACTGATTGCCATGCATGCCCTGTCCACACCGCACAGATGCAAGAAAAGCTACTTGTTAATCCTCCAGTTCTTGTACGAGCTTCCCCTAGTG